GTTAGGGTGCTTTCCCCAGAAAGACAGTGGATTGGAAACGGATGCTCAGTGCCCATAGAAGTTTTAAGGAATAGAAAGCAGTCTGGCAGACTAACCAGTATGTGCTAAATTTGATCTTTACTGACTGAAAAAGGAACGTGTATACCTGGAGTTTCTTGATATTGCTGCTTTGAGAGCTGAAGGGCGGGAGCTGTGATGGGGAGCTTCATAGAAATGCTCTTACCTGAGTGTTGCCAGCATGCACAGGTAGTTGGGAGCCTGTCTACCATGGGAGGGGATGGGAGCACTTCTACACAGGCTTACTTTTCCAGAAAATGATGATTTTTGAACTCGGACATGGTAAGAGGCAGTAGTGTTCACCTGACTTTCACCTTCTAAAAGTTAGGCTTGCAATTAAGGTATCATTAAATTCCTCCTCTGGGGAGTGAAGAGGAGGCCTCTCCACTCCAGGGTTGATCTCATTGGTCCAGAAGAAGGTGAATCATGCTCCTTCTCCCTTTTTCCTGCTCGCTTTCTCTTCTCCCTCCCTTTCTTCTCTCTCTTTCTCTTCACTCTAGGAGCAGACGAAACAACTTCAGCTAATTACCCAACCTCCAAGATAGCTCAGGTCAGCTTGGAGAATATCCCCTAAAACGCAGGGATGGGGACCAATTTTTGCTTCCATGAAAGATCCCTTCCCAGGGGGGAACCAAATCTGAGGTTTCATACCTGTTGCACATTGGAAAAGATAACATGATGGATGTGAATGCACAAGTTTGACATAACAGTGTGAAGGCAGGAAGAAAATCGTTTTTCTATCCCGAGACAATGAATTCATTTGAATGAAAACATTCAGACACACTAATGGGGAGAGGAAAACTTCTGTCTCTGGAAAACAGTTTTTCTTCAGGATGGACTGGTCATCCCCTGTCCTGGGTCAAGGCTCAGTGTGGCTCTCCCTAAATGGCAGAACTGGGGAGGAAGATGCCCCATGCTCTACATGGCTCTATTGGCTCTTGTCCCATTGCGAGTCTTTGCAAAGAGTTAGAGAGGAAGGAGCTAAAGGTTATGAGGAGCTTGTACAGAGCATTTCCTTACAAACACAGAATTAGATTTATTACTTCCTCTGCTGCTCAGACCACACAAGGAACCACACAGCATTTCAGGATGCAGAAATTAATAGAGAGGGAGAGGCTGTCTAGAGGGGTCAGTCTGGGGAGGGAGCTTGAAAAAGGCAGGCAAGCCCAGGGAAGGTGTTCCAGATTTGGGGAAAGAAGTACAGCCTGCAGTAGGAGGGAATAAGGTATATTCTTGCATGTTCTTCTGTTCTAGATGCAAACAAATGCTGGCATTCAGCACATTCACATTCATGAGCAATTAGGTGGAGGCAGTTGTGTAATCTAAGAGCACCAGAACTATTTCAGACAATTGCCAGGTGAAGACACAGTGGATGAAGAAGAAGGGTTCAGAGCAGAAAACACAGGCTTTTTTTCCCTATAAAACTTGGGCTCAAGTTCCTGTTCTGTCTGATTTTGAGCAAGTCTAAGAGTCCACACTCAAATTTTGCTGCTGTAAAATGAGGATCAGGTGATGTTACAGCATCTGATGTTACAGCAGGAAGATTACCTGATGTTGCAGTGTTAGGAATAGCTACCAGTTAAAAGTCACACGTACTGAGAGACCTCAGTGGGTGTCAGGTGCCCTTTCCTATAGAGATAGGCTTGACATGAGTTCTTAAGAGCCTTTGTAGGTCCCTGCCAACCCCAACTATTCTATGATTACCACCTCTGGCCCTTTCTGGTCACTTCCCCCTCTCAGGAGCCATTTCTGTAGCAACTTGTTTGATACTTTTGGTGGGTGTGTGTGCTTGAGCTCACATTTGCTGCTCTTGGTGGTTTGTTTGGTCTTTCATTCCTATTCCTTGCTGCCTTTGGCACAGGACATCCTTGGTAGTATTCTGGAGTACTGTTATTTCAGGGTGTGAAAGATTCTTAGGCCTTTAATCTGGGAACACAAACTACATCTGTCACCTGGGTATCTGTAGTGGTTTCTAAGCAACCACAAGAGTTTATTTTTCTTCTGCAATTCATATTTAAGAAATAATTTGCTCATGCATGAACCAGAATCAGCCTGAGCACCACCCCAGGAGACAGAAATTGTAAACTGTAATTTAGGCTAATTCTAGTCTAAAGCATGAATTAGAGTATTTTATATAATCTTGGAAAATATACCATATAAATATATGTAAAGCATAGGACAGGTACAATTAATGTGAGCGCAGTAGGAAGCTGTAAGTAACTCTGGGAATGTGAGAAACCAAGTTGGAACATATTCTTGACACGTAAAAATATTTCCCACCTGCCTTGTTTGCATAAGAACAAGGTTTTAGCAAGTACATATTTGCATGTCGGAGTTAAAAGTGGGGAAAATATTTTCACCCTCATAAGAAAAATGCATAATCTTGGCAGAGGCAGTTTGCATTTAGTAAGTTTAAAGTGTCTAAGTCCTTTAATGCTCTGTGGAAAGTGTACGAACTTGTGACAGGGGTTCCAGTGCAATGAGTGATGTGCAGAGAGCACATCACGTGGAGCAGTAATTGATCCGATCCCTTCCCGTGCATTCATTTGTAATTGGTTGTGGCAGTCCCCAGCAATTTGTGCTTCCCAGTTTCATCCCACTGTCCTGTATCTCAGAGTGAGATGGTAAGTTGAGGTTTTAAATGCTGCGTGCTTCATTGAAAGTGAGTACCTTGCAGATAGAAGTACTCTTGGAAGTTTAGAAGTACTCTTCTGAACTGGGGGAAATCTGGAATGCTGAAGCAATAGCTGATTGGGTGCCACTCCTCACACACACAGTGCTTGGCAAACGCTGCACATCTGGAGCCTGTGAATCTGTGGAAATTCTCTTCCAGCGGTGATGCATCCTGGAAAATGCATTTGGGACTAATTATGGCACCTTTAAGACTATTAGTAACCTAGCTTTAGGCCATCACTTTGAAGGCATATTACATTCCTTCAGAAACACTCTGCAAATGTCCTGTTGCTTAAGAAATAGGGATTGCGTGGACAGGCCTCATGGGTGATTTAACTCATGTGCTGGAGATTGTAGATAAACAAGGTCCAATTGTATCATACCTATTCAAAATAAGACACTAATTATATATATAAAAGTGACTTAAAATGTAACACTGCCATGTAGCTGATGAGATATTCATGACCACTCTGTCAAAGGAGATGAAGAAAGCTGCAGGTTCACTGTAGCAGAGCAGAAAAATAATCTCACTTTGAAAAGGCACGACCAGGAATCAGTAGATCTATCCCAGAATTTGTCCAAGGATTGCTCTCTGGATCTAAACCTAATGTTGCACAGATTTTGAGTTGTGAATTTGCCTGTTGTCCAGCTTGCTGATGTGAAGTGGGGTTCTTCTTGATGTTTTGGTCATAAACACCTGATGCTCTAGTAATAATTAATGTAACATGTTAATAAGAGAGCATACACTTTATTTTCTCCTTGTATTAGTTCACTTCCTGCTCCATTGTGTTTAATGGGTTAGCTGGAAGCAAAGTGAAATTAAAAGTTTTTGGAAGACTGCAAGAAAGATGCGTTTCTGTCCTTTAAGCGTCCTAAGCACCTTTTGATTTCAGCCCATCCTCTTGTTGCTGGAGGGAGGGTGGGGGATTAAAGGTCAAGATTGCAAAGATCCTGATGGTGGAAGCAGATGCACGTTGTGTCCTGCAATAGTGGACATGACTGTTTGAATACAGTGTTCAGAGTACAGCCCAAGTTAAGCTAATGCATTGTAGACAGAATGAAATGTCATTATATGTGTTGTCACCACCATAAACTGGAGCAATAAAAGCTGTCCGAAACAATCTTATGTCTTGTGAATGGAATTCAGCTCCTCGCAGAAGATTAACAGCACTTCTGATGGTTGTTAGAGCCACAGCAAGAGTTGTGTTTGTGCTCCAGTTCAGAATAAGCTGGTTCAGGAAATCTGCCATAGCCTGATCCTAATGCTCTTGTGGCAAAGACTGGATTTTCTTGGGATTTTTTTGGTTATTGACCTGATGGGTACAGTCTGTGTTTGTGTGAGCATGTGCAAGCGCATGTACAATGTGGACTGCTGGTCTTTGATACTGCAAAGCACTGCCTCAGCCTAGTCCTATCCAGAAAGGCTTTCTAGCAAAGTGACTGCAGTTATATGACCCAAAAGTTGAAGAGGAATTCCTGAGCCTCCCAAGCAGCTTCTTAAATCCATGTATTCAAATGGGAGGGTGCTGTGATTTAGAGTTTGCCACACACTGAACTGAATTCAGTAGGTGTGTTTTATATGTCTGAAGTTCCATTTAAAAACTGGGGGGTTCGTAGCCTGTATCTCTCTGCCAGTGTCCAGCCTGCACCGACTCCCTTGGTTTCCTAAGCTGGCCAGAACACTGCTGTACTTCCCTTCCTTACCTGCTCGGTGGTGGCTAACATAAACACATGCTGGCAATTCACTCCCAGGGCAGATAGGTGACTTCTGGATTTCTCAAGTAAAGCACGCTTCCTCTTTGCCCTGTCCCTTCTCTCTCGGCCTGGCCACTGGTGAGCAATGGATGGCATGATGGGCACCCCTCTGATGAAGGTGTGCTCACTGGCAGGCAGGGCAAACTCTAAAATTACCTTTTACAACCTCACATTAATGAGATTGGAAGAAACCTTTGTGGTGTTGTCTCAGCGCTTCGGCCAAACTCTGAACTCTCCTGTTCTTTTTGGCTTTGAAATGCTGATTCCAGCCTTCCTGTGGGTTCTTAAACACCTTCTCAAATGACCCATTTTAATAAGCCAAAAGCCATTATATAACGAGCAGCCATAATTTAGCTCAAAGCTCTAGGGGACCCTTGCAGTTCAGCAATGAATAGTTAATGCAGTATAATGTTTAGCAGGTTATTAGTTTTCACTGTACAAATGCTGATCAGGGAATGCTTTTATAAGGTGTTTAAAAGAAAATGTAATTAACTGGATGCGTGCTTCTGTTGCAGCTCAAATTGAAATTATTCCATGCAAGATCTGTGGAGACAAATCATCAGGAATCCATTATGGTGTCATTACATGTGAAGGCTGCAAGGTAAGCTTCTAAAATAGGAAGTCTTAAAGCAGCATTTAGCCTTTTGATAGTGCTTGTTTTCCTTCCCTTTTTGTAAAGAGCAAGCGTTGCACTGCAGTTGGGTCGGTGGATTCCAGTTCAAAGAACATGGAATCAGTTGGGGATTCTGAAGGACTGGGTTTATTTGGGTTTGAAATATGGCATTGTGTGACACACGCAAACCCCACGCCAGATTTTGGGACAAGCCTTAAAGACCTTGCAGCTGTAGTGTGTGTGCTGTGAACTTTCTCTGTGGGTAAGCAGAAGAGGTACAGAAAGACCATCCGCTTCAAGCACACCACAAAAAATCTGTTCTGGGGATTCATTTGAGAGTTTGGGGCTTTTGAATTTCCCTCTCTGTTTTCTGCTTAGTGAATGGCTGAGAAGCTGTGCTGCCATACGTGAGAGCTCTCTGACTTCTCAGTTTTCCTTTGTCCTCTGCTACAGTTGCACATCCATTCTGGTTGGTATGGGGGATGTTGCACAGAACTGTTTGGTGCCTGTTCCTTGCAATGCAACCATTGCTGTGTAAAGTTTAGGCTTTAATTTTTTTTCCTCATTTGTACCTTCAGTAACTCCAGTGAACAAGGGTTACATTGAAAGCATTTATGTGTTGGTTAGTTTGTTTCTCACAAGCAAGAAATCGTTTGGACAACACTAACTCTAGGCCAGAGCGCTGTGAAGCTAATCACTCCTTTCTATCACTGGTGCACAATTACAGTGCTAGCTTGGAGTGCCACAGTGTGCACAGCTGTGCTCTGGCTTCTGCTTTCCTCATGTGCACACATGTTGCAATTCCATGCTGATAGTTTTTCTTACTGCTAAGCTACATTAAAGGGGTGAAGAATTTGTGACAGTTTTCAGTCTGCTCTCCTGGTTTGCTCGATACTGCTAACCATCTTCAAACAGTAGCTTCCTTGCTTTCACATTATAGAGATTTCTTTTGTGTTTTCCGAGGAAGATTTTTGTATTTCCATTCACACATAGTCTCATGGAAGTGTTGGTAAGAAGGAAGAGAAGAAACTAAAAATCTAAGCATGTTGGAATGATAACAGGGCAGCACCTTCTGCTCTTTGTAACTGCTGTTACTGTAGGATATGTCAGAAATGACTAAAATGGGTTGATAATGAAGTGGTTACGTTTGACAGCTTTATGTGGTCAAGCAGCTTTTATCAGATTTCAGCTGTGAAGTGGCAGACATTGGCAGTGAGAATTCTGCTGTATGACCATCTTGTCAAAGAGTATCGAGTTATGTTCAACATCTGAGACCTCTTTAATCCTTAAGCGAGCTGGGGCCACTGTATCCCAGTGTACCTGAGCCTCGAGATCGGTGATGAACCATCCCTGTCAACAGACTGAGGTCAGCGCAGCGCTACTGCTCGCCTAGACAAGGAACAGGCCTTTCTCAACATGGGTTGTTGCAGAACAGGAACGGGCTGCCAAAGGAAAGGAAAGTTGCCAGCTGAACTGTTTGTTGTTTCATCTTCATGCAGTTCCTTTGCTTTACCTTCTCCCAAGTCCTGCATGTGTGAGAAAAGCCCCTCTAAAATGCAGGAGGGGAGGCAGTGGAGCACACCATGCAGTTCTATTAGTAGGTAGCACTGAAGGTAAGAGACAGACATGTCCATCAAGTATCCCTCCATCAGGGACTGTGCTTTTCCTAGGAATAATGCAAGTGTGAGTTATTAGAAGAGTCCTTTGTGTACGTCCAGCACTCAGAACATCAGACATGACCCTGACAGCAAGAAATGTGTGTGCAGCTCCTTATGTTTCAAAACAGATTATTTTCATTATTGGCATTCTGTATAAGCTGCATTCTCTGGGAGCTCTGCGCAGCCCTCGGTCTGATGCTGAGAATTCCCCAGGGACAGGCAGCTGGTGGGGAGAAGTGGGAGGAGAGCCAGGTGGAAAGGAATGCTGAGCACACTGGAGCCACTTGAACCTTGGAAGCGGAGTGTGCATGGGTAAGACAGACAGCAGCCCTGTTAATGAAGCTGGGCATTTTCTCCTTCTCTTGGAGTAGCAGAGTGACGTCTTCTAGCCATAAACTTTCAGGCAGGATTTGAAAGCCCGTGAATATCCACTTAGGTAACCAAGGTATTTCCCTTTCAGGAAGGAAATTGCTCTGAAGCTCACTCTTTAATGCCAGAGCCCAGATGACCTGTGAGTGGTGGCAGCTAGGGCAGTGCTAGTGGGCACAAGTCGCAGGAGGAGTTTAAATGATCATGACCGAGACAGCATTTAGAATGCCCTACTGTAGCTAATGGATTTTGTTTGTGCTACACTTTTCCACAGTAATGTCAACAAAGTCTCACCCAACAGAAATATTTTGGCTGGTGAAAAAGTTGGCATAGCTTGGCATCTGCCGAGGGAGCCAGGTGTGTGTTGGTATGGGGTTTTTCCCAGCTTTCTGTGGCTATGATCTCTGCAGGTTTCAGCATGCTTACATTGCTCTTCATGTTACACTAAATCTTCCTTTGTAAAAAGCACTTTGCTGCGAAGACCTAGTTCCCAGTTCTCCAATTCCTGGAGCTGATGTTCTGCACCAGCAGACCATCGCAGAGAAGTCAGTGAGGTTCTTGCACCGGTGCTACACACCCATCTGTGTGTGTCAGATGACACGGTCGGGGCTTTAGCTCTCAAAAGTGAACAGATGTGTTGCTGCCCTCTCAAGCCAGGCTTGTCAAGAGTGATGTACAGGCAGCACCAGCAGCGCAAAGTGGGGTGTTTTCAGCTCTTGCTATTTTCACTCTGGTTTGCTGTGAACTTTAATGTTACTTAATAGTAACATTAACTTAGGTGTTACTGTATAAATACCAGTGACCACAGGAAAAGTAATTTATTTAAAACCTAAAGGGTTGTTCTAGTTGCAGGGACCTACTTTGCAATCCTAATCTGTATCGTGTATGAGATCACAGGTTCTTGTCAAATTGCTGATCCTGTTGCTCTTCTACAGGGTTGTGACTCCTGCATTTCATACGGTTGAAAGTCTTCTGATCCATTTTCATTGTTAAATTGTTTCACGTAGCTAGAATTGAAGATCTGTAATGAAGCCAGTTACTGTTTTGTGAGAAGTGTTCATTTCCTACCCCACTCTGATGTTAACTGCCTGGTTTTATGAAGTTACTGGCTGTGCTTTGGACAAACATCATTGAATACTCCCAACCCATCCAACTATTGAGCTGAATTTCAATCTGCCTTTAAGAAATAAAATGGAACACCCCCTCTGCTTCCCTCCATCCAGTGAAAAACAGGTTTTAGCCAGGCTCTGTTTTATACTCTGTCTGGGAGGGCTCCAGCGGCTTATTTATATAGCCTAAATTTTAAAAGAGCAGTTTTTTTTTTCTCTCCAACCACTGCTGATACCCTGTATACAACATACAAGGCAAGATGAGATTAATCACTCAGAAATACGGGTGAGGAATGACACAAAGACTGTGTCACAACTCAGAAGTTTATTCTGCTCCGTAAGTTTGGAAATAGTAATGTTGCAGCAGCATTACTAAAAAGACTCATATCTGTACGGAGCATTTCTTCAACCATTAGTTGTGGGAACCCAGTAACAATCTTTTGCTCTCTACCAGGGGTGGTGCTAAGAAAGGAGACTGCTTTGTACACAGCCATTGTTCTCATAGCTGAAAGCTGAATCCGGTTCAGCATTGTCAGAAAACTCCTGAACTCTCCAGAAGGACATAGCAAAGCATGTAGTTTGAAATCAGGATTTTGTTAATGAACTATGGGTTTTAGTGTGCAGGTGCTGCCAGTGCTGTCAGTTCATGCCCAACTAACCTACAGGCGCCTTAGTGTGCCCCCCTCTTTCCTTTCCTGCAACACTTGGTCTCAAAGCCATCCCTGCAGGGCACCGCTGGGCAAAGGTTTATCGATACCAGCTTTTCCCTCTTACCTCTTTTAAGACCAAAGATGGTCTTGTTCATTTTAACTACCAGGAATGCCTGTGTGTGTTACTTCAGAACAGTACCTGCTGTATCGTCACTTCCCACCTTGCATTACTTCTGGTCATTTGTTTCCTTTGTTCACTTTCTTCGCTGGCCAGCCTGCCATTACTGTAGTGTTGTAAGCATGCACCTGAATTCAGGCTTTGAAGTTCTTCTATTTTTGTTTTCCTAGCCAATTCTAAGCAAAACACGTTAGAGATGAGCCCTGTTACAGCATGGGCAATCAGGAGCCCTGTGTAACCCAATGAACACAACCTCACTCCTGTCTTTAATGCATCTGTAAAATGGAATATTTTGTCTCTGTTTTCAGTGGCTCTGTAACTTTGTTGTCAAATACTTCATTGCCGAAGTTTTTAAACAGTGTTGTCGCAACACTCTCCTCCCTTTCCAACTGAACTGTGTGCTTGTTGTTTTAAAAGGGTTAAAAAGTTGATCTGCCTTTCATAGGACAGTGTATTTTTCTGGTGTGTCTTGATGGTTTGCTGTAGAAAACAGTAAAAGAATGATCCCCCCAACTAATTGTTAATTGCTGAGAATATTGCAAAACTTAATGATACGTGGAAGTCTTTAAGTATTAGCCATAAATCATGGGATTATGAAAAAGCCTTTGTTGTCATAGGCTTGCATAGAGTCATTCCAGAACGTCTGCCATTAGGATGCAGCGAGGCAGCTGTCAGCTGTTTTCTTGTAATTAACCAGCCAATGAGCAGCTAATTAAGACATATGTGTATACAGAAGTGGAAGTGGGTATGGTAATGAACTGTAGGAATCAATTCATTAAAGGGAAATTTGTCAAAAGACCAAACATGAGATCAGCATTTCAGCCTGTGCCACAGTGGAGACGGAGCCGGGGCTTTGCCGGCTGCGACTTTGGGAAGCACAGCGGGCTTTTCCCTGCTGCGGAGCACACAGACCTCTGCAATCCCGAGCACTGAGGTTACTGCAACTACGCAAAGACTGCAGAAGCTGCTATTTACATTTCAAAGTTCGTTTTTAACAAGTTGTTATTCGAACTGACTTGCAGATGAAAAGTTCTTGTGCCCTTTTTTCCCAAACTTGATTTCTTGGCAGCATCTGAAAACCCGTATATTGTGTTGTGTATAAATAGGAGGCTGAAACGCAGAGATGAAGCTATGGCTTGTAATCTGCTCTGCTCTTCTTCTGGCACCAGGCTAATACATCTACATAAAAAGGGAGACATGCAAAGCTCAATGGGGCCTCATCAGAATCAGCTGGATCTTTGTGCTGCCATCAGGAGGAGGCAGGGCTCCGCGCTCGCTGCCAGAGCCGTCGCTCAGAGCCGTGTCCCACGGTGGCTTCTGGAGTGGAGCAGCAGTTCTGTTCCTGTGCTGGATCCAGAGGGGTCTGCTCTGCCCATGGCCCATTAGGCAACTGCCTGCATGTAAAGTAATGGTTTTCAACATGCATGCCATGGAAAGCATGTGGCCTGGGCTGGTTTGCATAATGCTTGGATGTAGACACGTGTACCAGGCATGCATCCACCTCCTCCTTCCTGGTGGAAAAATTATAGCTAGCTCTGTGCCTCTGGCAAAAGCCAGGGAATAGAACAGATTGTGGCGTCTCTCCTTCTCCTAATGAAGGGGGAAAACCCAACTGAGGAAGAAACTCTTATTTACTTACAGAAGGCTCTTGTAATACGGGCTTCCCCATGTCTTACAATGATAGGAGAGCCCAAACTTAGAAAACTCACAGGCAAATGACAATAATATAGAAGAACTTTGAGAGTGAAACACCCTCAGTTTAACTCCATTGGCAGTTCAGTCCCGAATCAGATATGGGTATGTCTGAGCTCTGGACAAGCTCAGTTTTGTTTCTGGAGTTTGAGGCAAGGGGGGATTTTTGCTTTGGCTTCTGCTGATGTTTTCAGCATGCCCAGATAACAGTGTAGGGTTTGGTTTTAAAAGCACTGTACTACATCTCCTGCTTGTAAAGTGCAAGTGCTTTGAAAGACCCCAGTTTCAGGCAGTCCTGCTCTATTGAAAATTTAGCCTCAAGCTGTAACTTGGTAGATATATTGTACACTAAAATGTATTGAGCAGCTGTGTCTCTAGGGAAAATGTGGAAAAGCAAAAAGTCTGGTATTTTCCCCATTATACTCCTAAAAATAATCCTCAGCCTGAGAAGACCATTCTTAATGAAGGGAGATACGCCAAACTGGCAGTGCAGACTCAGTGTATGTCTCAGCTAAAGGAAAATGTATAGATCTTTGAGGTGATTGAGCCAGGTTCATTTTACACGTTGATTAAGTTGACTTTCAGGACCTCAGCGGTGGCAGGCTTTATACAGTTCATGTGTGAGCACGTCCTTCAGTGTTCGGGGAACTGAAATTATCAGGGGCTGACAGTGTGGAGGTGCAGAACCTTGGTCAGGACATCACGGGTCAGGTCGGTACCCACCACTGTTCTGCTGACAAATCCCACTGCACTTCGTGTGTACTTGCACTGGAGTGACAGGCTCCACTAAGGGTGCTGCCAGAGCTGGAAATTCAGCTGTCTGCTACCGAAGAGTTGGTTCCTCCAGGGGGATCAGTCATGGTGCTGGAATGGTAGAAATTTCCATGGTGTTTCAGGTTTTCACTCCATCAGAGCTCAGTAAGTGAAATACTTTCAGTCTCTCTATTGGCAGACATTAAAGAACAGTTGAAAGTTCAATCCTATAGAAACAAGAGACCAGAATAAATGGGTGAGAAATGATGCACAGGAAAACAGGATAAAAAACAGACATCTTCAGTTTCCTCATTTTTTATATATTCCATGTTTCCCCATTAAAGCTTTACTAAAAGGAGCATCATGGATGAAGACTGGTTCCTCCTCATACAATGGAGCAGGGGTCTTTAGCTCTGGTTCTGCCTGAGGGAGGTTTGCTGGGAAGTCTCTTCCTGTTGTTTTAGTTCACCGGTTCTTTGGACAGAACGTACGTGTGCTGAGGGGCTCCAGGATGGGGCCTTTGAATGAAGGAAGAACTGGGAAAAGTCCAGCTCTAATTACAAGATGCCCAGCATTTCTGAGGAGGTGTTTTCTGTGCAGCGCTGTTAATGAATCCATTATGTGGCAACATAAAACTAAAACACTGGGCTGGAATGACTCCGTTTCTGCAGCATCCTTGTGAAGCAGGTATTACGCATGCACCAGCTGCTGTTTGGGCAGTCTGTGGCTAAAACATGCCATGCACTTCAAAGCAAACAGCTGGCATCCTGCTTACCAGCACGCACGGTCCTGATGGAGAGTCCCAAGTTGTGACTACTGCCAACCTTGCAGCACTCACTTTGCTGGGAGGGGGGTCTGCCCATTGCACTTGACTTAGAAAAAACATGTAAGATGTGTTTCAGCTTCCTCCCTCCTGGCAGATCTCGACCCTGTGCTGAGCTGAACAAAACCTCAAAACCCCCAGCATCAAACTAATTAGGAAAAAAACACCTTTAAAGCTTTTTCTTTGTTGAAGGCCCCACTTGGCATCACACACTGTGCTAAACACAGACATCCTTGGGGGAGGCTGGACACCGAGGCCTGCCACTGACATCTCCAAAGAACAGGGCTCCTGAATCCTCCCTGTTTTGCAGATCTGTGCAGACCCAGGGAAGACAGGAAATCTGGGTCTCTGGGTAGTTTTAGCTCATTTGGAAAGGATCAGATGTGGGGTCTGTAAAACCGGTGAAAAAAAGGTGTAATTCCTCTGTGTGTCACAACACTTCTTAAGGAGCTGTTTCCTACTGGTGACTGGGGTTGGTTTGCTTCTAGAAGAGAGGGGAAAAAACAGCCAAACCCTCCATACCTTCCTCAGCTAACTGTAGTGCACTTGAACTTCCTTGTCTGCTGGTGTGCTGCCTTTCCAAGTCTGTCTTTGCTCCATCACTTGGCAGCTTCTTGACTCGTGTTTTGCGATTGTTACAGGGCTTTTTCAGGAGGAGTCAGCAGAGCAATGCCACCTACTCCTGTCCCCGGCAGAAGAACTGTCTCATCGACCGGACCAGTCGAAACCGCTGCCAGCACTGTCGGCTACAGAAATGCCTTGCTGTGGGGATGTCTCGGGATGGTGAGCTCTGCTGACATGCACCTGAACTGCAAAAACCAAACAGCATTTAGCATGACTGTGTTCTGCTAAAACAGCCTAGGATTTAAGGTTCATTGTGCATAGGGCTGATAGTTGAGATCATCAAGAGGGGTGTAGTTATTGTTATATATTCACATTAAATAGCTATGAATCAGGACACATATGAAGCTCTGGGGTTTACTCTCTTTCCTGCTCATCTGGTATAGTTTTCAGTTCAGAGCTTTGCCTCTGGTCACTTCTGGAAGATGCAGGTTTTAGTCTGATGCTAACACTTTCTCTCTGGGTCCACTCCAATCTGAGTCCCACACCACAGCAGCAGGTAATGCTCTGGTTGCTGTATCAGCACAGATCAGAACTGCTTCACAAGACAGAAGTTTCAATGTGTGTGTAATGAATTATAGGGAGAAACACAACTTGAAAATAGCACTGTGTTTTTTCAGAAGTTCTGAAGAAAATGAGTTCCACTGCTGAGAATAATAAGCTCAAAATTAGACCTGGTGTAACAGGGAAAACCCACCTCTGTAAAACGGAAGCTTATGGAACTCAGCTAGAACTGGATTTGCGGCTGATACTTGCATGCCTCCCCCAGAGATGTACCAAAGCTGCCATCTCCTACCCAATTTGAAGATCTGACTCATTGTTTTCCACTGCTAGTGACAGCAACGCTGCATGTTCTGCCAACACATATGTGTTACTCTTATGTACAAGAGGCCTGATGAAGGAGAGTAACTTCTTGAATTACATTATCTGAAGTTTTTTATTGGGCATGAAACTAAGAACCTGGAGCGGTTGATCATGTAACAGCTGATCCCCACGACAGGTTTGCTTCCCTGTAGAAAAGCACAAGGTGGCTGTCACCTTCCTAAAAGAGGTTTCTACAGCTGATAGAGGCCCTAGAAATCACATACTATGTTCTTAGGAATTCCCTGGATGTGGCAAACCAGTTGCTTCTGGCTTACACTTCCTGTGGGTACTTTTCAAAATAGTAACAATTTTGTGGAGAGATACATACACACATACATATGTATAGTTTTAACAGTAATTCGCTGGGTAAACATTTTTGCTTGTCACTTTAAGCTGCACTGAAAGCAGGTTCTGTGGTCCTTCCTATGTGCTTTGGTTCTAGTATCAATAAAGCTTGCTTTTGATACTCTCTGAGAGAGGCCCCACGTGTTTAGACTTAACTCTAGGTTCATGTTGTAGGAGGAGTGTGCAGCTAGCAGCGGCTGGACAGTTCATCTCAAGCCTGCATATTCTATCTTGCTTCTGCTTTTCTAGGTAGGGTTTGAATGCTGAGGAGGTGCATCTGTCAACTTCAGCGGGTGTGTAAGAGAAAATCCTTCTGGTATAGAAGTGGGAAGTTAATGGGTTCCTCTAAACCAGTGACTTCCAATGGGCCGTTTAAGTATCACGTTAGGATGGTCTTTTAATGAGTAGATCCTGCAGCTACATTACCTGTAACTGCAGAAGTGGTTCTTAGGTCTGCCTATTCAGCTGATTTGCCTTTTATACTGCATCCTTCCATGTAGTATTTAAAGCTCCAAGACAATGAAAGTGCATTAGTGGGTTTGTAGCAATGTAACGTGTTGTGTGTCTGTGTTTCAGCTGTAAAGTTTGGTCGAATGTCAAAGAAGCAGAGGGACAGCCTGTATGCGGAGGTGCAGAAGCATCGAATGCAGCAGCAGCAGCGAGATCACCAGCAGCAACCAGGAGAGGCAGAACCACTAACACCAACATACAATATCACCACCAATGGGTTAACAGAGCTACATGATGACCTCAGTAATTACATTGATGGGCATACCCCTGAAGGTAGCAAAGCAGACTCTGCAGTTAGCAGCTTCTACTTAGACATACAGCCTTCTCCAGATCAGTCGGGTCTTGATATTAATGGAATCAAACCAGAACCAATATGTGACTACACACCAGCATCGGGCTTCTTCCCGTATTGTTCTTTTACAAATGGGGAGACCTCTCCAACTGTGTCCATGGCAGAATTAGGTAATGAGAGAGAAAAGCTTCCGTTGTAACTGTCTTAATAGTAACCCTTTGGATTGAAGTGACACATGTAGCCAGGCAGTAGTGAGAATGCTGCTTTGGTAGAGCTGTGGGCATGTGTGGGCATCCTCCTGTGATGGGCACAGTACCGTCACCCCCAGGACATGGTGAACACCTGATGGAACTGGACTAAAGATCCTGGGAGCTTGTGGCTGGTCAGCTCTAGAAGCGTTGGTTTTGGTGTCAGTCCTTGTAACAGAACCCTTTGAATGCTGATTAGTGAGCCCATGATTAGTGCTGAGAAACGGAGCGTTCCTTTTGCTGCAGATTGGTTTTGAACATCTTATCCTCTCTTCCATTACCTCATACTCTTATTTTCTAACGAGAAGTCAGGAGGCTGACTTTCTTCTGCTCTCCACCTGTACCTGGGAAACATGAACCCAAAGCACCAGGGTGATTGGAGGCAGTTCTCCTGCCACTGGTCAAAAAGCATCCCCAGATGCTGAAGAATATCTTACCAAGTAGCAAGTTCCGGTGATTTCCCTTACACCAACCACATTAATGAGCACGTTTTACTGTCAGTTCTTCCCAGAGTGATATGCTAGGGCTGAATTCCACAATCACGGCTTGTCAATATCTGAAGCTCGAGTCAGAGCATGCTCTGTTAACTGGCTATAAGTAACCTGGAACAGGCCAGCACAGAAGTGGCTTTAAGATTCTGTTACTTAACTAAGCAGTCAGGTGCTTAGAACTGATTTTGCTTGCTTAAGCAACCTTTTTGCTAATTATTCCATTATAAAAACCTAAAAACAGTTTGAAAATGAGGTGTTCCATGTTAAATGTATCTTTTTGCAAGCCTTTTTTTTTAAATTCGAGACAAACAGATGGTACAAACTTTTGCTTGTTTTAGTTTATGTTTGTTTGAGAAGTTTTGCAGAGAGGAAGGGTCAAGAAGGCTTATTACCTTTTAATGTCCTCACCTTCTAATGTCCTTTCCTCTTAATGTCCTTCTGTTCTCAGCAATATGATTTGTTGTGACAGACAAAATACTGTGTCTGGCTTGAGTTCAAATAACTTCAGTTACAGATAAGTAAAAATGGGAAGAAAACACGAGGATAAAGGCTACCAGCTTTGCCTCAATCAGAGGGCTGTTAATGTTCTTGTGGGAGCCAGTGAAAGAGCTACATTAAACCCACAGAAAAAAGAAAGGGCTTTTGTGTCCCAGGCCAGGTGCTGAGTTTGGAATGCTGGCCTGAAATGAGTGTGTCATGTTGCTTACGCAGTGCTTACATTTAGACCCTACAAAGCGTGATTTATGTGCCCAGCACTGACACTGCTGAACAGTATTTGGAGAATGTTTGTCTTCCAGACTAAGGTTTCAATTTAGAAAGGTGGGGCTGCTCAATGAAAGTGTTTATTAGGTGTGTGCTGAAACACAGAACTGAGGCTTGTGAGTAACATGGTAATATTTCACCTCCGTATCCCACAAGGGCACAGGGATAAAGCTGTCAGGTGCTGCTGGTGAGAGCAAATGTTTTAAGTACGCACTGGTAAGAAAAGAAACTTGCTCTGAAATACGTGAAAGCTGTGATGGCAACCAAAGTATAAACCACCTGATGCTCTGCCTTGCTGATGCTCAGGTAGCACGTATCATCTGAGTTTAGCTCAGCTGTATGTTAAAGACTTTTCAGGTTGTTTCTTACATCAAACTACTGATGCAGTAGGTGTGCACTAAGCAGGTCGACTGGTCCAGCAGTTCCACTTGTAGAGCTGGGTTTGGTTGTTACCAAACCAAGTAAGTTTCACAGCAGACCCAGCTCCAGCCCCCTGGCATCATAACCATTCTTGTTCGTTTCAAGCCTGCAAAAGCACCAGCAGCAGCACTGTGGGAGACAAGTCACCAGGGCTCTAAACCAGAACACAGGTGTGAAAGTCAGGGTAGGCAAGAGAAAGACAAGGTAAAGGTGGAATTCAGATATCTAAATGCTGTTCACACCTTTAGCAGGGTTCCTAAAGGTTTAGGGAATCAAGTTTTATTAATGAATATAAATCTGCCTCATGGGTCTTTTAACCAACTCTAGCAGCAGAGAATGGTTTATTTGGAATTAAAATGTTGTATGGAAATCTCAAGTCACTCGCAGTCAGTACTCTAAAGCTAGAGAGAAGAACCCTTGAGTCTTCAGCATGGTGTTAGTGACCTTCTCTAATGGCGCATTTTCCAGCTGTGTTTTTAATGACGTGGGAGCAACAAAGAAACTTTTCCCTCCCTCCCTCCCTCCCTCCACGTGGCAGTGTCCTGCTTGCCACCAGCACACGGTGCTGGCTTTCTGTGTGTGTTAGACAGCTCCCGTTGTAAGAGGCACAGACGGCTCTTACAGCTGTGGTGCCCGGCTGGCAGCGCTGCGCCGTGCCCTGTGCGTGCTGCTGGGTGAGGGGGTGCTCGCGGGGTGCTCTCTGCCGGGTGGCTCCATCCCGGGTTGCTCCACGTGTGCGAAGCGCTCGGGAGCTGCCGCCTTGCCCCGCCGCGGCGGGGTTCATTCATTCACAAAACCGCCCGAATTCAACCCAAACCCGGCCCGTGCTCGGTGCGCGGCCGCCGAGCGCCCCCTAGCGGGCGGTGCGGCAGCAGCACCCGGCCCCGGCTCCCTCAGCCGAAGCTCTGCCAGCGGCGGCCCCTCGCCCCCTGCCCTCCTGCAGCGGGGGTCTGCGAGCGCGGCCCCGGCCCTGCGGTGCAGCTGGGCGCTGTTCACGCGTGTCCCTGTGTGCTCTTCCCTCCAGAACACCTTGCACAGAACATTTCCAAGTCGCACATGGAAACGTGCCAGTACTTGCGAGAGGAGCTGCAGCAGATAACATGGCAGACTTTCCTGCAGGAAGAGATCGAGAACTACCAGAACAAGGTACAGGAGCATGCCACACTATGGCATGGGGGCTTTTAAAGCATGGTATTTCCGTAACACACTGCAAAATTCACTTTTTCACTGCTTTCTGTTTACTGTCAGGAATGTAGTTGTGTTTTCAAACAAAATAATGTGCTAGCATCCAAAGCAGCAAGATGACTGGGATATCCTGTCCTTTGTGATCAGGACAGGTACAGGAAGAGCTGTGCTCCTAAAGTCTGCCCGTGACAAACAAGGGTTAGAAACCAGAGACAGATTTTCTATCCTAAACACCCCATTATAGTAATATTTTCATTGATAATCTCCTGGATCAACAGCAACAACAGAAGCTGAAGCCACCAAGTTGTGTCATTTTACAGGGCTGACACAGACTTCGGGCAGGTTTCCAGCCTCCAAAGCCTGGCTGTGGTCCTGACCCCACTCCACCACTGTCACTGGGGCTGCAGTTCTGTGCTGCGGCAGAGGGGGACACACTGTAAGATTCAATCCACCTTTGGATTTCAAACATGGCTTCCATCACAAACTCCTGCCAAGTGGCTACTTCTGGAAAGCTGTCCTATTAAAGCACACTGTTCCTTGAATCTCTTTGTCATTTCCACCAAAAAATATTTAACCTTTAAGAATATAATTTTTTTCCACTCGTAAGGTAATTTCATTCTGAATTATTGCCAGCACATGAAAAAATCACTACTTTCATGCTGTCTTCATGTTGTTAACAAGATGATTTTCAGATATGTGTATTGTTACGTATCCTTCGGAACATGAGCTAGTCAGACAGTTCACATTCAGTACAAACTACAGAAAGTTGACAGGAAGGATGTGATTATACACTGCTGGTGTAAATTAGCATTCTCTTTTCATGCAGCAAATAAAATTCCCACTGAAATGGCAGGAATCATTCTACTTTGACATTTTTAGCTTATGAAATAAAAATACTCCAACCTGGATCTCTTCTGACATCCCTGAAGAAGTCTCACATGTTTGCACTGTTCGCTCATACACAGGAGGCTTTGGCTGGGAGGTTAATTCCCATTGTCCAACAAGCAGACTGTAGCCAGGAGTGCTGGAGAGAACTTGCTTGGTTTTACTTGATGCAGATGGGCTTTCCAAAGCTTGATCAGTAATTGTTCGATTTTTTTTTTCTCTCAAACAGCAAAGGGAGGTAATGTGGCAGTTATGCGCAGTCAAAATAACAGAAGCTATACAGTATGTAGTGGAATTTGCCAAACGCATTGATGGCTTTATGGAACTGTGTCAAAACGATCAAATTGTGCTTTTAAAAGCAGGTATGTGGGTCAGTTTGAAGGTCTGCTTCTATTAGTTTTGATTGAGGAAAGTGTTACCTGTATACAGGAATTGTATATGAATACTGTGTCCCTGCGCGTGGCAGGGGGTTGGAACTCTAGGTGATCTTTAAGGTCTCTTCCAGCACAAACCATTCTGTGATCCTATCTACGTATGTTGTACAATGATCATTTAAAATAATACAAGGGAAGAACCTTACAAATTGTCTGTGTCCTTGTGTGAAGTAATCCACCTCCTTAGTTACTCTGGGTAGAATGAGTTCAAGTCTACATGTGACAGTTTCATTATGAACAAAAGGAGCAACGAGGGTGTTAAGATGGAAAAGTTGGAATCAGGTGTTTTATTTTGGCTTACTAAGAGTGAGTAACAGTGTTTCAAGGTAAAAATCCAGCCTGTCCTGGGCCGGATGCTGTAGAAGTAATGCAGTTTACAAATACTGGACAAAGTTGTCAAAGCTTCATCAGTATAAATCTGAGCCAACTGCTTTGACTTCAGAGACTTCATTACTCAAATGGAAGTTATTTATTAGCGTTAACTGAGTGGCTTTAACAAAAACTTCCAAAGGGGTTTATGGGAATTCTTGTAATTCTACAAGCGAATCAAACTATGCCCTGCCCAGACACCTGCCGCCCCACTCAACTGATACTGAATGAGCACAGGGCATAGGAACGTTTTGAAGCCTCACTTGCTTTTCGCAGCAGGTCTCAACCTCACTAGTCAAACATACATTGTTTCTGTTTTAGGGTCTTTAGAGGTTGTGTTCATCAGAATGTGCCGTGCCTTTGACTCCCAGAACAACACAGTCTACTTTGATGGCAAGTATGCTAGCCCAGAGGTTTTCAAGTCCTTAGGTAAGGAACTGTCAAGTGTTGTATCTTAATAAAAACAGCATAAACATAATAAGGCAAGGGGAGAGCTGCTTTTTGTTGCAACAGCAGTAAAGGACTGTTGGAGCTGTAATTCAACACTTAGATCAGGGTAGAGCAGTTTGGATGCACTTGTTGACAACAGAAGCCCAGATTTCATAGCTAGAGAAACATTTTATAGATCGTGTTGGAAAAGGCAGCAGATTTTAAGCTAATTTTGGATATACTGATGTTAATGCTTTGGAGATATTGAGTGTTCTGTAACGTGCAAAGTCCAGTTGTTTGCAGGTAAGATACTGTAAACATATATTTTTTTATTATTAAACTACAGTTCATAATTTGAAATTTCTGTATGTTTTTGCTAGTTTTAAAAGGCTGCAGTTCACTGGGTGTAGATTTAGGATGTAAGCCATTTTGGAGGGCAGTGAAAATATGGCAGCAGAGGATGCGGCATAATTACTGCAGTAATCTCTGCCTTTCTCAAACACTTTACAGTACAAGGTCAGAGTCAGGCAATACAGAGGACGCAGTGTCACATGTGGGTTCCAGTGAAATAATTTCCATTTGTTAGCAACTACATCTAGACATTTAGGCTGGGTTGGGGCTGCAATGAGCAGAGAAGAGCCCTCCTTCCATCAGGTTGCAATCCCCTTCAAAGCAGGGCTCCACTTTCTGAGCTTCTAACAGCATGTATAACAGCAGCAGTAACCTGACTTACACCTGTGTGAACAAGAGAATGGGTGACAGGACAGTTCCTTTTCTGCATGAAAAGCTTTCAGACTTTGGCTTCTCCCTTTGCTCCTGCATGTACCTTGCATGCCTCTCCCCTTGCCTTCTGTGTGCTCAGCAGTCTTACTTTCAAGTACACATTTTGAACCTCCAGTCCACAGTGATGTAAGAAAGTTCCATTTAGGAACAGAAACAAAGCTAAAACAATTCTGAGGTTTCAAATTGCTTGGGTTGTATCCATCATTACCTCAGAAGAACCAAATGTGGAAAAGATGCAGCATGCCAAGCCTTCGTAATCCTGGCTGCCAGGTGTGGGAGCTGGGGACTTGGGGAAGTGGCATAATAAGCTCAGGCATGAGGGAGAGAGACCTCACTACCACTGCTTCATGGTCCTTAACGAGAAGACCATTCCCCTAGGAAGTATTTTGCCTCTATTTTTCACCTCCATCAGACTAAATCAACAGTCTGTAACTCTCTAGTAGTTCTGAACAATGTTGCATGAGCTGTGCCTTCTTTTTGGCAGGTTGTGAAGACTTCATTAGCTTTGTGTTTGAATTTGGAAAAAGCTTATGTTCTATGCACCTGACAGAAGATGAGATAGCCTTGTTCTCTGCGTTCGTTTTAATGTCGGCAGGTAAGAGACAAAGCTTTGCTCTAGGTTTATTTGCTAGAGGTTGTTTTTATGCTGTTAATGCTTTGTAATGCTAGTTAAGACTATCAGGCAGTGTGAAACACCATAATGGTTTTGAGTTGCTCCTCCTTGATCAAAATCTGTAATGGACACGTTAAAACTATGAATTCAGGCACAGGTTTGTTCAATTGGAAATCCTAATCTAAGCCCTTGTTTTCCAAATTTTCACCTCACTGGGGACTCAGCTTCTTTGTGAAAGCTTAAACGTGACTGCTGGGTCAGCCAGGGTGAGAGGCAGGAGGTAGCTTCTGAGTTTATATGGTCAGCTTTCAACTGTGAGAGCCTGCAGCTGCAGCAGAATTCTGCCGAGCCCATGACAGAACGCTTGCAGTGCCACCCCAGCTCTCTAAAGCAGGGCTGCCACTTTACAATGGTACAAAAATCCCGAGGTAGCTTTGTACCATCATGAAACTGGGTACACCAAGAATGACAATGCTGCAAGTCACCCCACGAGGCAGCCTGCGTCTGCCATCCTGAAATAACTGAAATAACCTCGTAATCTCAAGTAGGTAGGCACAGTACTCCAGGTTCTGGGAGGGCTTACGAGGTCAGGTGAAACAAGATACCAGTGCACAAAGTTTGTTTGTGCCTGGCATTAACGCCAAAGGAAATAAAGGCTGTTTTCAGACTGCAGCAGAATGGGTCCGGAGTGGTGGTGGGAGAGGCCGTTATTGACAGCGGGTTTATTGAGAATGTCACAAATACACTCTGGTGCTGTGAGCCAGAGTGGAACCATGTTAGTCCCATGTCTTCGTATGTCAGCCACAGAAATGCCCAATTTTGCCACAGAGCATGGACAGCAAACACTGCTTTTCAGCGAGGAAGTTCAGGAGCTTTTTTGATAGTTTTAACAGCTGAATATTTGCTTCTGATTTTTCTGTATGTCCCTGTAAATCTTAGCAAGAAGATCCACTTCAACTCTTGTTCATTATGTGATCTATTCATTTCCCATGAAAAAGTTGCTAGCTTAATTTTGTAATACCCTGCATTTTACAGACCTTGTTAGTAAATGATTATTAAATCTTACTCTGACACAGTGTTCTTCTAATCAAGGACTTCATAAAAGTAATTTGAAATGCCCATAATAAATACACTCCAAAACCTATTGATTTTGAAACTTGTTTTCTATGCAAGAGTATAGAAGAAGGGGAAGGAAAGTTGCAAACAAAAAAGATGAATCTGTAACAGACTTGGTACTTGTGTTGTGCTGTGACTGACGTGTGCAGTACTCGAGGTGTTAACTCCATTTATATTTAGATCGCTCGTGGCTTCAGGAGAAAGTAAAGATTGAAAAACTCCAACAGAAGATCCAGCTAGCGCTTCAGCACGTCCTACAGAAGAACCACCGAGAAGATGGAATCCTAACAAAGGTAAGAACCATACAGTGCCACACCATGGGACTGCAGGAGGAGGCTTACTTAAGAATGGGTGTCCTGAGCATGGTGTAAAGTTTTATGAATCCAAAATGCTTTGCTTAAAATCAAGGTGCTCAGCTGGAACTATTCACTAAAAACTAGAAGAGGTGAAGTGATGATGTACAAGGTTGATAACAGTCTGAAACCAAGTATTTTTATGTTGAACTGCATGAGAAGCAATGAAGGTTTTTACCCTCCTCCTCCCACACAACATTTCTACCAGAGAGTTCTATTTCAGTTCTACAATATGCATGCCTTAAGCCTTGTGAAGTCTCTGCCTGCATGACAATGAAGTTGTGATAACATGCAATACCCAAACTAACCTTGTTGTTCTGTCTTCCATGAGAAGTTCCCCACACAGCCTTTTTTCTCAATAGTTCTTCCAAACACTGGTGCTTGGGGAAAAAGGATCCTACATACTACTGTGCTCATCTAAAGTATCTGTAGGTCATTTTTCAAAAATGGAAGCGTGGTGTGATGTTAAAAAACATAAACAGGAAGAACTGGGGAAAGATAAGCACTTCCTTATGGAGGAGCAATACACAGCCAGAAAGCTTAAGCTCAGTTTCACACCACAGAATTAATTACAATAGAAGCTGGATGGCCCAGCCCATGTTAAATCCTAGCTCATGGAATTCTTTTCCATATCTGTATACTCTGGATACCTTTGCTGGAAGAAAGTTTCTTCCACATGCTTTGACACAAGGATGTGTTCAGTACATTCAGGGAGTACCCTAGCGATAATGTTGAAGTACAGATCTTCCTGGTCTGTTCCTTTTCACCTGATTCGGCATAAGTTAAAAAGGCCTAATTGCATTCCCTCCACAATGTTCACAGTGGGTTTAAAAGCAGTCAGGACTGCCTTCTTCCAAGGGAATGGCTAAGCTGTGTGAATGAAGATCCAGCCATGAAATACTTCTGTATCAATGCAGTGTTTGATAGGCAGGTGAGGAAACCAAATGATACCTTTTCCTAGGAGCATAAAGAAAAGGTTACTGTATAGCTATCGTTAGTCCATTACTTCAGTAGCTTGTTTAGTGCCTTCTCTCCCCAACCCTCCCCCCCCCCACCTTTTTGTATTAATGCAACCTAAGAAACATCCATGACTGTGTATCAGATGTGTCATTCTCGAGGTAAACAACTGACGTGAACTCAGTGTTTAGAAGAGCTTTAATCTAAGAGCAAGACTGCGAGGCCTGGTTCCATGTATGTGACCCTATGACTTCTGTTCATTTTTTACAGTTAATATGCAAAGTGTCTACTTTAAGAGCACTGTGTGGACGACATACAGAAAAGCTTATGGCATTTAAAGCAATATACCCAGACATTGTACGACTTCATTTTCCTCCACTTTACAAGGAGTTGTTCACTTCAGAATTTGAGCCAGCGATGCAAATTGATGGGTAAACGTATCACCTAAGCACTTCTAGAATGTCTGAAGTACAAACAGTAAAACAAAAGAAAGGAAAAAATTAAAAATTAAAAAAAAAAAGAAAAGAAAGAAAGAAAACCAAGACACTTTATGTGGCCCTGCACAGACCTAGGGAGCCAACACACTGCACATCTCTTGGCGGTCGGGGTCAGGCGAAGGATGGGAAACAATGAAACAAAGTTGAACTTGTTTTTCTCATGCATATGATTTCCATTATGCCTACAAATATGGACCCTTTTTCTGTCTCAGCTTCTCAATCTTTGACCTCTGTTTACACAGACTGAGGGTACTCATGTCAGAAGGTTGTTTTCTCCTGTAGTTCACTGCCCAGACTTTTGACAGAACAATCAATTTGTTGATCAGAACAGAGAGTCCACCTAGTAATCAGCGACTGGTGTGCATTGCAGAGATTTCAGCATCAGTTTGCACAACTTGCTCATTGTTTCATGAAGGACGATTTTTTTCACCTACCACTGTTTGCCAGTAGACAGAACGGCATGAAAAGGGTCCATAGCAATAGCAACAATAGCATTATAATATATTACAGGGTAAATGGGCATGAAGACTATATATAGCAAAAGAGATATTGTTTATATATTGTTTTAATTAATATAAAATGTAGTTACTGGTATAGCTTTTCTTGTTGAATTGATAAGGCACTTTCATTTTGCACCTTTTTCTTTAAATTAAATGCTAGCGTGTTCATTGTTGTGTTGCATGTGCACCAGAAATTCAAGTTTAACTGAAAAAGGTTTGGCAGGTACTAGTACGTATACGTTGGGAGGTATTTATGCTGCTGTTTTCCATGTTACTCTTAAAGAGAGGCTGGTCATATCCTGAAACGGTTATAGAAATATTTTTTTTAATAGTTGAAAATAATGACAACTTTCTGAATTAAAATCAGCTTTTCAGCTGCTAAATTCAAGGTACTTTTAGTTTCAGATCTTTCAAACCTGAATGTTTAAAATGACATGCCGAAATTCCAAGTTAAGTGCACAAGTCAAACGCCTCATTTTCAAAGGTGCTGAACTTCTGTGCTCAAAGTTAAAGCAATTACAGAACAGCTACAAACCAGTAATGTGCACCCTTGGAAATCAGGCTATTTGAAGTGTATTTCTGCCCACCATCAATCCAGGTTTGAAGGTAGTTACTCAAGTCTGTATCTACAGTAAAAGTATGTGTATATGACGTGTATGTAGAAAAGTAATTTTATATACAATTTTACATACCTTGTACTCCATATTGTAAACAATGCATTCAAACTCCACACTCCAGCCTATCAAAATTCACAGAAGTCAAAATTCATAGTCTTTAACTTCAGTGAGGTGAGACACTGACCCCTGTTCTTCTAGCTCTCAGCAGTGCAGTTTCAGGCAGCTGACCAGAGAAGTCCATTGGTCTCCTTATGTAAAATACGCACTTTAAAGTTTATCAGATGAGGACAGACTAACAAAGTAAAGGCACGCGGTTTGGCTGTACTCTGGGTAATGTCAGGAAATTGTTGATATTATAGATCTGCATTCTGGAATTTTGATTCCCATACTGCATAACCAACTAATAAGCTGAATCTTGCAGTCTTTATCAGTCCTTATTATTGCCAATTGTCCTTCCCTTTAGGAAGAAACTCTCTCCAAGCAGATGTGGCAAGTAAACCTAGTTCTGAAGGCAGATTCACAGTAACCGACATCACAAAATACACTGGGACTAGCTGAGCCAGAGGTGTGTCATTGGTTTGGATGAGATAGACGTGTAACTGGATGCCTTAGAGGTCGACACAAATGAGTTCATGACGAAGTATGTAAGAAAAAAAAAAACAGGAACTTTAAAAACCAGTAAGGAATGAGACAGAATGTGCTCGATGGGTTTGATTGCTTACATTTAGTATACTTGTTAGGTAACAGAAGTGAACAGAACCACTCTGAAGCCTATTTTTAAAAGGAGGATTGGGTCAGTGGGTTACTATAAACAAAACAGAGGTTTACTCTATGATTTGAACATGCTTCCTGTGGGATCAAATTGAGGCATTTAGACATCATGCCTGTTAAAAATGTCACAGTCTGCCACATCAGGGAAGCTTACAGCTATTGCTCACCTCTGCAGTTTGAAAGGAGGGGAAATGAGCAGCTCGTATTTCCCCTTCAAAGCAGTATGCTTGTAGTGTGGGAGGGGAACACCTACACCTCCAGGAGCACTGGGATGGAGCCATGAGAGTGCTTGCGGGGAAAAAGCCCACAGAGACGTGCTTTTCCTGCTCCATGCTGCCTGCTGCGGCGGCGGCAGCTCACAGCCAGCACAGCCACCCCCCAGTCCCTCCAAAACCCTGGTCCTAGCAGCATTGTTTACTTTACTGGAGTAACTGGCATGATACAGTACTTGCATTCTAACATGTGTTCCTGTTTTTAAAGATGCCCTTTTAACTAACAAATGTTTTCTGAATGTGACCAGCCTTAGGTGCTAGTCCTGTAAAGATCAACTAAACTTAAATTTCAGTGTCAACTAATGAATAATGAAGTAAGGCCTATACTTTAGAGAGTGAGATACAACTCCTACTTCTGACAATAAGTAGACTATCAGGCAAAATATCTGGGGATTAATTTTCAGTCACATCCTTTTCTTACCTTTTCCTGATGAGTATTAGTACTTTGCCAGGCAGCTAGGTGCCAGTGGTTTTGTTTGGTATCTAGTTCAGCATATTTACACCTGTAAGTCATTGACAACAGATTTTTTGAGCACTTACTAACACCATGACCATAAAAAAGGCTCGATAGGGCCTTAGCTGAAAGCCTTTTGCATCTGAAAGCAGCTTGTGACATGTTCTGCTAGGCCAGAAAGTGCTGTCACTTTTGTCCGTGGGAGCTCCTGTGTACTGGCAAGGTGTTAAATCAGGCTGTGCATACACACCCCAGGTAACTCTGCTTTCCTACTGCTGCCAACCGCCATAGTTGGGGCCAGTGGGTATTCACATGAGTCTTTCCATAGTCTGCACAGCTCACTACAAACAAAAACATGAGGACAGCTGAAGATAAAGGAGTCATCTATTCTTTTTTGAATGATCTGTTCCTAAAAGTGAAAAACAGATTTTCATTGGGTGCTACATCTATCCACAGAGCTGTTTTCTGGCTTTCTAGGAAAGAGAGACTGCACTGTGCTGTCCTTTGAACCACCCTAATGTACTCCAACATCTCCAGCATTGTTTGACGTTTTAAAAACAATGGGATTAGGTGAAAAGGGAGGCTGGTTTTAAGTTTGGTTGTTCTTTATTAAAGCTTACCTATCTTAGTGTGGATACCAAGATATCTGTGTGTGTATGTGCACCTCTGTGCGTGTGTGTGTGTGCGTGTGTGTATGTGTGAGTACCTCTGTGCGCACGTGGATGGACGTGTGGTACGGGTGAGTGCCTGCTTCTTGGCTGTTACGTGTCAATGGAATAAAGAAAATGTATTAAAAATACTTAAGTCAAAAATAGAAGGTGGAAAAAAGATTTATTCTATACAAAGCCTTGTCTGGACCACTTTAGAGAGACTTCTATTTTTTTAACCCTTCTATAAATGTTTGATGGCACTTGAAATATTCCTGCAATAAAATGTGATTTGTGTAAACAAGAAAAAATTTTGTAATGTGAAACAATGAAAGAAAGTAATGTAATTTTTCTAAAAAACAAGAAAAAAAACACAAACGAACGAACTTTGTATTATTTTCTTGATGGAATTTGTCTATTTGTCTTTGAAAAACTTTTTATTTCATTGAATGTGCCATAGTAGAGGTGTGTTTTTCTTTTTTTTTGTTTTCTCGTTGTTTTTACATTCTAGCCTAAAGGAATAGCTGTGTTCCGACATTCCAAAATGCAAGCTGACATAGCGGTCACGATTAAACGGTTTGATTAGTAAGCTTCAATCATTGTTGCTTTTTTTGCACATGTTCTTCATTCCTCTACAGTGCAATATGTACATAGAGCACTTGCGGGTGTAACCTTGATCCCTCAGGGAAAAATACATATTTGTACAGGATTTTTCTTTTTTTTTTTTGCCTTTTTTTTTTTTTCCTAAGGAATGTCGACTGAATCACTTGTCTGTTGTTGAGGGGCAGCCAGATAATAATCCTAAACCACTGTCACAAAACGTTGTTTAAAATTTGTGCCCTTTTATTATTTAAAAAAAAGAGAAATAAAAGCTATTTTCTGACAGTTCTTTGTGCTGATTGGTGACAAAGGGTAAATAGCTAAGCACCTTATGATTGACTTAACTGTGAATGACAATCCATCTCGCTATCAACAACAGAAAGCCCTATCATTTTGGAGCTGGGGTTAAAAGTCAGAAACTAATGTGCTCAGGGATCTTCTAAAGCTCTTCAACAGGGTGGCCAGTACTACTGGTGGAACAAATTACGTGTTAAAAAATACTGATATTTTTTTCCCTTCTCCCTCCCCCCAGGCACAAGAGAACTGGATATTTTTCTTTTCTTTTTAACTAACTGCTCTATGCGTGCCTCATTCCCTTACTTGGTTTTGGAGCAGAGCTGCTCCTAGGTCTGTTTTGTTCAAAACAAAAGTACTCCAAACAGTGCAAAGGTTTTGTAGTTATATTTTAGAAAACAAATTAATGCTGACCCTTAAACGAATGACTGAAATTAATTTCAATACCCTCGAAACATTTTTATAATGATAGGACTGTTTTCCCAGATGAATTTCAGTGTTTTGGAGTAGAAAATGAGGTTTCAGTATTTAAATTATTGTCAAAGAAAACAAATCATTTTATGATAGTGCAATAAGAATGCAAAGGGGATGATGAGGTTTCAGCAATGAAGTCACATAAAAGGGAGCCTAGATCTGCACGAGTAAAAGAACAGCACTGCAGACACTGTCTGTCAGTGTTACATATGATTCATGGTAAAGCAAAAAAACTGACTGGAAAGAAACACTGAGGCTGAAGACATTTTCACACCTAGTGCATCAAATACAGCAATGCCAAGTGATGAAAATGGCATAAAATGTCTAGGAAGTCTCCAAGTGCCAAATTGTAGGATTTGGGAAGCCTGACCCAGTTAGCCTTGGTTTAGGGCTTCACATTTTGAAAATACAAGTAGAAAAGTGAATAAGCAAATGCAAACAGCAAAAGCAAGACTTCCAGACTTTCGTTAGATTGGGAAGAGAGTGAATTTCTCATCAAGCCTGTCTGCTTGCAAAAAGCATCAGTTCTCCAGTTTCTTAAGTAATTGAGGGTTTTTTCACTGGATATATGGGTTCCAGTTGTTTATTTTAGGTTGCTTAATAGATAGGGAAATTTTTCTTACAGCTTTGCAAGCTGACAGTCGAGTTTAGCTTGGCTTGGCCTTCCGAGGCAGACAACTGCTTAGCAAATACGACCTCTTGGATCAGCGGGTGTTCTGGCTGCTTCAGCAGAAGAAAATTCCTATTGCTGATTCACAGTAGCACCTCTTCTTTACATACCTGCGTATCAATTAAACAGACTGTTAGTACGTACAATCTATGAGATGTTTTAACTATGTAGTGGGGTGATCGCTTTTTTGGGATTGGCATGGACGTTCCCCAATCTATACTTGATGAACAAAAACCTGGTTGCCCAGTATAAGCTGTGCAGACAATGTGGTGGTTTGTTTTTTTTTTCTCTACACATTCCTAAACTTGCCAATGTAAATGTAATTATTTATATAAATGTCAGAAACAGCATTTACTATCCAATATCCAAAAATAATAAGCAATTTTCTCTTGAGTATTCAGTATATGACATTCTACCTGTGCTAGCTGATTCAGATTGCACAAAACAACTTTCCTTAGCTGGAGAAAGATAAGTATTCGATTTTTTTTTTTTTCATTATTAATACTAATATTTATTACACGTTTCAACCATGAATAGATTTGAATATTAGCCTCCTGTTTTGTTTATACTTAAGTATTCCTGTCAGTAAATCATTTGGTGGAAATGAGGGCAAATGCATACAGATACCAAATACCACAGCAAAAAGAGAAGTTTTAAAACTTAAATGAATATTTATTTTAAAATCATTGCAGTATGTGCTTTAATCCTAGTACTGTGATAATAGCTCGCTAAATAATGCTGAGTCACTGGACTTGAGGGGAAAAATACGTAAGATTTAGGATAATACACGGTCTGTCTTTGGAACTTTATTCAGGTACTAAACACAATTGTAACATCAAAATAGAAGCTGTATTCTACCTTTTGCATATGTAATGTTGCTGGTTAACTCTTTTTTTCTTGCCTTTATCATTGGTAGAATATAGCAATAACTTCGTAGCAATAAGTAGGCTATCCAAAAAAGACACAAAACATGATAAAGGCTTCAGATCAGTATGCGTAGATTAATTTCTTCTGCCACAATATTCACTTGTATGTCTTCCCTCATAATCTTATTACTTGTTCAAGCTGAATTTCACAGTCAAGGTCTTCAACTTGACACGTGGCATCACACCTTTCTGTTAACATCTGCATGTTTTGGGTGTTCATACGTCCTTTGTATATTTGTTTTCCTGTAAGTCAGTGTTTCTCAAGGTTTCTGAAAGCACAGTCCTTCTGGGCTCTATTTCTTCATGGGACTCTGTGTTGGAATTAACTTTTTCTGGGCAGGGAGTGCGAACCAGCTGTAATTACTGGCGGCATTTCCTAGCTGGAGGAACTGAGTGCTGCTAGTACTTACCAACATCACAGATACTGCAAATGCTTGGTGCTTGCAGCCAAGAGCTAGCTCCTCCAGGCTGGGGGGGCTGAGCTGCATCCAGCCAGTGAGTTCCACTTGTCTGCAGCCAGTACCACCACAGGCTCTGCGCTGGAGAACCAAGCTGCTGCACTTCACCTAGAGCCGAGCTACACTTGCCTGACACAGTGTTTTGATAATAATCTAAACACTTTGGCAACTTTCAAATGGTTGTGACTTTCGGTTTGAGAAACACTACCCTAAATTACCCCACAAAGTCTTAATGTAGATGCACAAACTTTACAGGAACTTGCAATCTGTAATGCTATCTACATCTAATGCAGAGAATTCATAAGCAATACAGTGAATTTTATTTCACAAAAAGGCATACGTACTGTACACCTAATTCCAAAATGTTCCTCATTTCTACACTGATTTAGAAACAAGCTACATAACAGTGGTGAATATTTGAACTATTAGGACATTAACTGGCTGCTTCTTTATATGTACCTGTATTGTCTGCCTGCTCCTTTTCTGGAGACGTGTTTTTGTATTGGATGTTTGGGCCAATGGGAGGCTTCAAGCTACAATGTATTTTCCCAGAATAAATATATTTAACGTATGACAAACCCCAGACAAGGCTTTTTAAAATGTATAAAGAACTGCAGTGTTAGGTGGTTTCTTTGCAAACTGTTTTCAATGTTGTCCATTTTTATGGCACCTTTAACAATATTCTTGTTTCCAAAGTACAAAAAAAAAAAGGTTAAAAATACTCTAGCCATAACTGAATGTCAAGCAATAAAAACAAATGACTTTTTGTGCATAGATTTAAAAGAAATACAAGTTTTAGACATCTGCATGTAAATGCAATCTCTTGTTTACTGCTTTCTTAAACTTGAGCAATTGATTCCTTATTTTACTACTAATTTAAGGACTTGTAATGGCCTGTAAACATTTTATCTTGCTCTATTCTTTCAACTCTAACTTCGTCTCTGCTTTGGAGTCATAATATTTAATGTTGTTCTGCTCACCTCTATACAGTTAACTTTTTGCTTTCATTCTGTATAGATAAAGTTATACTATAAACAGCCTACACAGTGCAAATATTTATCTGTTTATCAAATACCACATTATGCTGTATAATATCTGTTTTACTATATAATCTATTTTAGACATAGCTGTTTAGAACTAGAGTGTGCTATTTTTGTGTTTTTCTGATGTGTGGTGCTAGATAAGTTACTTTTGTGAACAAAAGCAAACAAACCCCTTTTATTCCTAGACAATACCACCTTTGGGTCTTGTTAATTTCACTGAGTATAACTATATATAAATATATATATTTGTGTATATATATATATACACCAACATATGCCCAACAAGTACCTGTATCAGAGTACAAGATTTGGGACATGGTTTTCTCTTTAAATGCATAGTGTCATTATATAAATTATTCTATAGTATATTTAATAAGGAGAAAATTACTTCACTGGTACAGATACTTGATATCAAATGTAGAATTTTTTTCTACATTATTAACATTATTAATTATTAACGTTATTAAAAATGTTCTGTCCAGCTTGTTATCCTTTTGATTACTAAAACAGTCTGTCTGTATTGTATCAGAAAAAAAGAAAAACATCTAATCTGCCAGGATAAAGTAATTGCAATATGTTGTCTGTCTGAAAGGGAGGTAGTTACTTGGCTTTTGGGGAGAATTCTATCCTGTCGTTGCATCTGGTATTTATAGATGTTATTCTGCTGGGTGCCTTCCTCCCTCTTCACTTTAAATAGGATCTGTACACACTCAAATGCGGATGTTACTAGGCCGTGCTGACACACTTAACTCCAGTTACTGTAAATAGGAATGTTCTGTACATCTTCCATCATAGATGGATGGCTGAATTCAGTCCTTGGATATGCTTTCTAAACCGTGCATACACATCCCAGGACAGCCATTAGCACCTACAGCTAATTAAGAAGTGGAATTTGCAACGTTTTGTCAGGTCTGGGGGTTTTGTTTTTATTTTGTATGTATACCTTAATTTACATAGTCATGTACCCTTAAAAGTACTCCTGTCCCCTGTTCCTTTCATTCTAAGATATTGTTTTCATGTTATTTCTTAAAAACTCATGGATATCAAATATCTAACTATGGAGGTAATTAACCTTTTAAATATTTATTAGATTTTTTCTGTAATATTACTGAATTTATAAGATCTTTAGCAAAGATTTTTGAGCAATTTATTAAATACAATGTTTCTGTTTACTGCACTTTTTGATAATAGAAGGTAGTGAATTTTAAAGCCATGGTTCTTGGCTTCCATGCACTGCTTTTATACCCTCAATCCAAGGAATATATATATATAAATAATTTTTTTTAAACAGCAAACATACTGTTGTCCTAAAAATAAATACAAACTTTACCGCACCATGGGTATATTTTCATAAGTGGAATGTTTAACTGCAAACACTATCAGGACAATTATAAAAACCTCTTGAAGCTACAATCTTATT